GTTTAAATCACCGCCAGTTCAAGGCATTTCTGGGCGAGTTAGATACAGAGTATGGTGACTTGCCCTATCACACAGAGGTGCGATGGCTAAGCCAGGGAAAGGTGCTGCAAAGATTTTTCGAGCTGCGTGAGGAGATCTGTCTGTTCATGGAAAGCAAAGGGAAAGACTCAACAGAGCTCCGAGATGAAAATTTTCTGTGTGAAATGGCATTTCTGTGCGACATCACGAGCCATCTGAATGTGAATCTGAAGTCAGTTATATGCTAATTTATTACCACCCAAATTCTTGAGTATCTCTCTGACTCAGGCTATAGTGCAGCTGAAATGATCAGTCAGTGCTATGATGGAGCTTCTGTCATGAGTGGGGTCAGGGGTGGGGTTCAGGCCTTACTGCAGAAGAAGGTAGGGAAGGATATTCCCTACATCCACTGCTACAACCACCAGCTGCACTTGGCAGTGGTCCATGCAATGCAAGCAGAGCCATGTGCAAAAACCTTTTTTGATCTTTCAGGATCTCTACACTCATTTTTCCACCGTCATTATGTTTCACAGAGCTATGATGTTCCCTCCCTGAAACGACTGTTGGAGATTAGGTGGACAAGCCACCATGATGTGACCAAGTGCCTTGTGGAGAATCAGGATGCTGTTATGAGTATCCTGTCAGAGGTTACACAGGACAGAGCTGCTCCTGTTGATATCTGTACAGAGGCATCAGGACTGTTGACGATGTTAAGGAGGCACAATTTCTTTGAAATAGGAAAATTCCTATTAAAGGTTCTGGGTTCCTTGAAGTCTGCTAATTCTATGCTGCAGTCTCACTCTGTTGACCTGTGCTGTGCTTCAGAAGTAGTCAGTGCATCTCTGCAGGCTTTGAAGCAGATGAGAGATGAGGAAAGTGAGACATTAACCAGCACACCTACACCAGCTGCTAAAAGACAAAGAAAAACAAGCTCATTGCTAACAGGTAGCGTTGTAATGTCCACTGTGGGCCACGCAGAAGACACCACAACTCCTAGCCAGGCTCTGAAGAGAGCTCTTCAACACTTTGGACATAGTCATTGCAGAGATGGAGGCAAGATTCTCCAAAAGCAATCTCGATCTCATGAAAGCAGTTAACTGCCTTCAACCTCAGTCTCCCTCTATTCTGGATCCTAACATGTTAAGTCCTCTGCAGAAAATGGCAGGAAGTGACAGTGACAAACTTTCCATTGAGATTCTTGTTGCAAAAATAATGTTGGAGAAAGAATTCAAAAAGACTGATGATGGTAACAGTGAAGAGTTTGTAGACCTCTCCACCGTTTGCAAATATCTACATGGGTAGAAGAATGCCTTTCCTCAGCTCCATCGCATGTATGTGACCTCCCTTGTGATTAGAATATCAGCAGCATCATGCGAGAGCTCTTTCTCCACTTTGTCTCGTGTTCTTACCCCGTTCCGCCGTACTACGCTACATGAGAGAAAAATAAGTTTAGTCATTCTGGGTCACGAGAAGGCCATAACAACAGGCCTAGAACGGGATTGGTTTGTTAGGACTTTTGCACAGAAAAGCAGACAACTTATTCTGTCATGAACGATGAAAGCCATAAAGAAATAAAAACAACAACAATTCTAAAAAACTAAATAAAAAATATATAAGTAAAATAAAAAATAAAATAAAAAATGGAAGGATAGACAGATAAGATAGCTCAAATAGATTAAAGACATAAAAAATATTAAAACATTAAAAAATTTAAAAATTGGCAGACAGACAGACAGACAGACAGACAGACAGAGATAGATAGATAGATAGATAGATAGATAGATAGATAGATAGATAGATAGATAGATAGATAGATAGATAGATAGATAGATAGATAGATGATAGATAGATAGATAGATAGATAGATAGATAGATAGATAGATAGATAGATAGATAGATAGATAGACAGACAGACAGACAGACAGACAGACAGACAGACAGACAGACAGACAGACAGACAGACAGACAGATAGATAGATAGATAGATAGATAGATAGATAGATGGATGATAGATAGATAGATAGATAGATAGATAGATAGATAGATAGATAGATAGATAGATAGATAGATAGATAGATAGATAGATAGATAGATGATAGATAGATAGATAGATAGATAGATAGATAGATAGATAGATAGATAGATAGATAGATAGATAGATAGATAGATAGATAGATAGATGGATAGATGGATGATAGATAGATAGATAGATAGATAGATAGATAGATAGATAGATAGATAGATAGATAGATAGATAGATAGATAGATAGATAGATAGATAGATAGATAGATAGATAGATAGATAGATAGATAGATAGATAGATAGATAGATAGATGCAGAGGGTAGTGTAAGGAATGGATCAAGGGAAAAGATAGATATATGGATAGAAGAACTGTAATGATGATAGCATAGTTTTCTATGCATTTTAGGGATATGGGGGTATGTGACACCCAAAAAATTATTTCCCAGATCTGCCCCCCCCCCCCCCCCCCACACACACACACACACACACACACACACACACACACCACACCCCCACTACCGTCTACCTGCACCCCTTTCTAGGGCTGGCTAAATCCGGCCCTGTGTCACAGCAATAACATTCATTAAAGGAGCAACAAAGGAGAGTAAAAAATAAAGAATAAACAAGAAAACATAAAATAGAAACACTTAAAAGATTCATAAGATAAAAAAATAAGAAATGCTGAATATATGCAGATTTTAAGGAATAAAAATATTTTTTTAAAATTGACACATAAGTAACGAATACCACTGATGTGTGCTTTACTCGTGTGTTATTTGGTTATTCCACATTCATTGTTACTGCAAAAATAAGTTTGTTTCCAAGTGAAAAGGTTCAACCGTTTATAAAGGAAAATATGCACATTTGCCATTACTTTTAAAAAAATATTGAGTTTGGCCCACGATTTCGTCCCAGTTTTTCATCTTGGCCCAGTGTGAATTTGAATTTGACACCCCTGTTTTAGATGAAACAGAAAAGAACATTAGAAGAAGTTTGAGCAGCAGCTGGTAAACATCCAGCCGACCCATGAAAACAACGGCTGCTTGGTTCTGCAGGGATCAGGTTTCTGTTTCCTGAAACACTGCGATGATTTCTTATGGTGCAGATTTCCAAAAACCTTTCTAAAATTATTCTTTCTGGTGTGTGTTTTTTTCTTCCAAGACGGCAAAAAGTTGTTGTGATTTCGAGGGAGACCTGGTGACTCTAGTGAAAAACCACCCCAGTGGTGCTGATGTTTACATTTAAGTGTTATGTATCAGGACAGCTGATGGGGACAGTGTGTTCTCTGATGAAGGCATTTCTATTCAAACCATAAGTGGCAAACATCCAGGGAGCCGTTCAGAGGGAAGGAACTCCTGCTAGAGAGGAGAAAACAAACAAGATCTGATTGTGGCATCATAAAGATTAAGATAAAGGAGGAGGTGAATTTATCTCATCAAGGACTTTGATCCATATCTTTATTACTGGATTCAAATGCAAATAAACACCAGTACAGCTCAGCTTTTCATGGTCCAACAGCATGATCTCATCTTTAGTTAACACTGAATGAGCTCAGGTTGTTTTCCTCCAACTGGCCTCTATTATATTCTCAGCATTAAAAAGGTAACATTCACCATTTCAGTTGAATATAAAAAAATAATGTGCATTTGAACATGTTCATGGAGAGTATTTGAACACCATCCTGGATATGCGCTTTTAGTTTTTTCTCGATATAAACAAAAATGCTTTTGCGCCACTTGGAGGAACCATGTATTTTCATTTATAACAGAATATTTCTAGATCCAAGGTTAAACCCAAAAGGGACAAATCAGGTTGTCAGATTCCTCATAAACATACATTTAGAATGCAAATGGTAATTTGTGCCACTAGACGGCAGTGTGTACCACATACTAAACCTTGAAAATGTAGTTTTCAAGTTTAGTGTCTTAAAATCAACATCAACAAGGCCTATGGGAGTCTAACCTGTACTCTTCAAGAACCAAGACATTTGTTTATTGACGCAAGGTGGCAAGAAATGAAGCACTAAGTTCGTTCTGCTCAGGACATCATATTTCATGAGACGCTCAAATGCAATCTCATTGGAAATCGTCGTTGTTAGTGGTTACATAATTGTACCAACTTTCATACCTTCACCATGAAGACCTAGTTTCGTCATTCTTTTTTATTGCTCGAGTCTAAATTGAGCACAAACAAACATTGCTGACATGCAAAAAGAGTCCCAATGCTTTCATAGTTGCACTTTAAACACCCATTTAGATTATTTCATATATTTAATGTGGGTGTTTGTAAAATCCTTGGTTCAACTGGGAAACACTCTGACTTATTTCTTCAGATGGAAAACCTGGAACCAGAGGACGGCAGATTTCTTTAGTTTTCCAAGAGTTATTGTGTTAATGTGATCGAATATTAGATTTATTAATGTCCACAGTTTCCTTTCTCGTGTCATTTCATCGGTGTCTGGTGGCATCTAACCCTACTGATCCAACACGTTATCTGTTATCTGTTCAGAAGCTTTTAGCATTGTGTAAAACAAACATTGAGCAATGTGACACGGATGTTTTCTTTCCTTTTACTGAATAAAACGGTCACAACCACGTTCCTGTATTTTTGTACGCCCAAAGTTGTGCTCCTGGTAGAAATTAAAAAACAATAATTACTGAATTGAAATTACTGGAGGAAAAATGTTGTTTACTTCTGAAAGAACTCTTTCCATGTTGTGTCCCAGCTTTGTACGTACGTTTTAAACTCCACCCGCTCAGATATATATCTAGGAAAGACATAAGGGATTCGTGGAATTGCCAGGAGCTACCAAATAGCTCAAACGTTCTGATCTGCAGCTCCAAGTGCTCTGGTGGGTGTTAAGTGTAGCGTGGAAATTACCCCGCCCCTCTTTGCTCTCATTGGTCCGTCTTTGGCGAAAATAAAATTCCTCTCCTCTGATTGGCTGAGCCTCTGTACTTCTCCTCACGCTGCGGTTGCTGTTGTGAATGTTCAGAGAGGGAAGGAGCTCGCGCTGTTAGCCTAGAATAGCCTAGCATCAAAACACAGAAGGACACAGAAAGGTGGAGCTGAGACTTTGCAGCAATCATGAAGTTCGTTCGCTTTATCATGAAGAACGCTGCGCTGGCAAATGCGCCGAAACACATCGATCATTTCTCTAAATTTTCTCCATCGCCGCTTTCCATGAAGCAGTTTATTGATTTCGGTGAGTTTTATTTCAATTTGGGATATTTAAGGGAACAACTCGGATGCGTGTGTCTTTTAAGTCTGAGCATCTTGCACACTATTTATGTGATATATTGTATTTTCTGTGTCATAATGTGAGTGAGAATTTGCATGATCTGCTCTCCTAGTACATGTAGTTCATGGCAAGTGTTGCATCAGACCTGCAGGATCGTGCTGCACCGCTCAATACTTCTAAATATAAATAATTTTCACTATGTGAAATGAAAATGACTGCTAAAGAATGTGTGCAGAAAAAATAAGCATAACTGTCAGAAAATCTGTAGCATGAGCAGGAATGTTGTTTACTTTGCAAAATGTATGGAAATAATGCAGAGCTTAAATAGTTTTATTAATATTAAGGCATGAGAAGATGATTAATTCTAAAAAAAAACACGAGCATGTTTGGTTAACCTTTTTGTCAGAAAACAGAAAGTCCTCTTGGTTCCTTTTATTTTGCAGCCAAATGTTTACATTCCGAAAGAAAATTGATTAAAAATGATAAAATGTGTCCTTTTCTGATGCGGAAATAACAAGCTCTTCATATCTGTGCATGTATCTTAGTCAAAGATGTTTGTTTTCTCCCAGATGTCTGTTATTGAGGCCTTCTTTGTTCTGACCCAGGTTCCATAAACGCCTGTGAGAAGACATCGTTTGTTTTCCTCAGGCAGGAACTTCCTGTTAGACTCTCAAACATCATGAAGGAGATCAACCTCCTGCCTGACCGACTGCTCACCACCCCGTCAGTTCAGATGGTGCAGAGATGGTGAGTCCATGACCTATTATTGATCATTATCTTTAGGTTATCTGTGCTCAGCTGGTTTTATGTAACTTCATCTCTAAACAGGAGCTAAAAGTTCAGATCCGCCTCTCTCAGCTTCTTTATCAGCCTTATGCTGTTTTCTGATGTAACTGCAGCCTCTGCTGCTGTTTTGTGCCGCAAACCGGGGCGGTTTATTTACCCTCATAAGTTACATCACGCTCTGAATTACAACAATGCCCTTTGACCAAGTTGTTCTGGCTCAGTGGAGGATGTGGGAGGTGGCTGCAGACTCTGAACTTTACCCCAGATTCCCGGTCACAGCTCCACGTGATCTGTGTGTGTGTGTGTGGTTTTTTTTTGTGGTCTATTTTTGCCCTCTTTGTGAACTTTCATTTTCTACACATACACACACTCAGTTTGTTCTGTTTTTCACCCCAATTGTGTACATGTTTGTTTGTTTTTTTAGGTATAGTCAGAGTTTAATGGAGATCCTCGACTTTTTAGACACAAATCCAGATGACCATAAAGTTCTTTCAGAGTAAGTTGGAAGTTATCTACAAATGTTCCAAATAGCAAAAATTAATCATATTAATCCCTGACACGTTTTATTCTCCTTTTTCAGGTTTGTCGATGCGTTAGTCTCCATCAGAAACCGGCACAACGACGTGGTGCCGACAATGGCTCAGGGGGTCATCGAATACAAGGAGACGTTCCCCCAGGACGCGGTCACCAACCAGAACATCCAGTATTTCCTGGATCGGTTCTACATGAGCCGCATCTCCATCCGAATGCTCATCAACCAGCACAGTGAGTCAATACTACATTATAATTTTTAATGCATGTTTGATTTTATATATTTATTCTTAGATTCTCGGTTTCCAGTTGAAGCTGTCTTGTATGGGAACATTTACATTCCCATCCCATTGTTTTTTTTTTTAAAGTTAATGTACAAATATAAAAGAAAAGAATATTTAAAAAAGATTATGAGAAAAGATTTAAGAATGGAAAATTAATGATAAATAAGCACGGGAGCCTGAAAAATACAGAAATCACAGAAACCAAAAATAGTCCAACTGATCATAGTGGGTCGATTTTTAATTGTTTCCCAGCTAAAATCTAAAATTAAATGCATTTTTGGGAAGGCGGCTTAGATAAACTATTTCTGGTGTTTTACTGTTAAAAGTTTTATTTTCAGTCACTTGTTGCATTGGTTTGCTTGTAAACTGATATGACTAAAGAGATTATTCTGTTTATCTTGGTAAAACCTGCAGCAGACACAGATATCCAGTGCAATAATTCAGATTAGAGCAGCAAACCAAAAAGGGAAGAAAGCCTCATACTTCAGCTTTTACAAATAAAGCAGGCAGCTATCTCTGCTCAGCTGGTTGTGTGCAGAGGCTCTCTGCGCATTTGTTCATGTTAAGAACACGTAGAAAACAAACTTGCAGAGTCAGCAGATGAGACGGGATGAAAGGGCACGTTGCTGCTCTGGACTGATCCCGTTCCGTCTGGAGTCGTGTTTGTTTAGAGCTCTTGCGTCACCCTGCATGAGAAACTGCTGAAGCAAACCGAATCAGTGATCCAAAGTGTTTCACAACGGCTACTGCACAAGTAGTTATGACTTCTTTAACCTTCATCCTCTCAGACTTTTCACCCGTGAGCAGGAATTAAGAGGCAGAACGTTGTGGGTGCTTTTACCAAAACAAGTGCAGCCTGTTGTTTTTCTCCTCCTGACATTTCTATATTTCCAACCTTCTGCAGCTCTGGTGTTTGATGGCACGACTAACCCAGTCCACCCCAACACCATTGGAAGTATTGACCCTCAATGCCAAGTGGAAGATGTGATTCAGGGTGAGTTTTAGTTTCCTGAAGTTCGCTTTAAATGTGTGGAATTGCTGCGTTTTAAAGGGATTCTAAGGAAGTTTGACAGTCAAAACATGTATGCCCTGGTCCTGTAGAATGAGCCCTGGCATTTTTACTGTGACTGCCTCTGTTTTTCTGTAAAATCACAGAAAAAGAGAGATTTTTGGGTCGAACAGGCTGCTTCATGCGCGTTCACGCTCAGGCATAGCCTGTAGCATTTGCTATCCGTAGCTTTAGCAGCAGAGAGAGAGGTAGTGCCAACTACGCGACTTTGTTGCTGTTCCTAACGCCTAGTGATGAACCTAGCTACATTTCTGAGGACCCTTTGCTACTTTCTGTAGAACTTTCTTCTAGATATTTCCTGCAAATTAGCAACAAAATAGCCATTTTTGCTCCGAACCGTTCTTTGGATTGACGTTGTTTCAGCTTTCATCAAGTTACAGATAGAATACATGTCACTGGCACTTTCATGCCATGACTTTCATGCAGAAGGTCTGGGTTCGATTCTGGGTGTGAACATAATTTGTTATTTGGAGTTTCTTTTTTACATTAATGGTATATTTTTTTCACAGTAAGATGCCCAAATTTTTATTTAAGACTCTCTAAAAGGCATTGAATTCACGGATAAAAAAAATGTGGGCTCAACTTTAATTTTGGAACAATTTTTCAAGCAAGGGAAGGGAATGATCTGAGCATGCAGGAGGACTGACCCATCATAAACCTTTGTCGGCTGTGCTGAAGAGAAAGGTACAGAACCAAATTATTTAATTAATTAGCTGCGTATTCTCCTGTCCTCTGTCCTCCCCCCCCCTCCCCCCCCCCCACACACACACGGGACTGTCTCAGCTGTTATTTTCGTTAAGGAGTGTGCACGTACAGCATGCGCACCTCATGCACGAGCTTACTTTTTTCCGCGTTAGGCCTGAGTGGCGATCGCGAGCATAAAAACTTCAAACTTCCTTGGAGTCCCTTTAAAGTCTGTGCTTGTGTTTGAGCTACTCTGGGTTTATAATCAGCTACTTTAACATTTCCCTCTTTTCATTAGATGCTTTCCACAGTGCCAAAATGCTGTGTGAGCAGTACTACCTCTGCTCCCCCGATCTGATTGTACAGGAGATGAACAGTGAGTTTATTCAGATTGTTTTAAAATCAGGATTTTAACATTAATAGTTGTAATGTGCACAGGGGAGCTTAGAAGTAATAAACAAATGCATTAAACTGTTTTTTCATTCCTGTGCAGACAAGAATCATCATCATCCGATATCCATCGTGTACGTCCCCTCTCACCTCTATCACATGCTGTTTGAGCTCTTCAAGGTAACAAACTCCAACTTCACTCTGCAGACTCACTTCCAATAGGCTAAAATATCAAAAGTTGTGCCTTTTAATCATAATCTTTTCCTTTTTTTCCCCAGAATGCTATGAGAGCAACAATCGAGACCCACGAAAGCAGCAACAACCTCCCTCCCATTAGAGTCATGGTGTCCCTGGGTGGAGAGGACATGTCCATCAAGGTGAGTCACAAAGTGACACCTATGGTTAAGACTAACAAAGTGTGGTTTTTATGATAAATGTAGAAACTCGGGGTCACCAATGAGTGTTAATCTAAGTTTCTAGTCCAATATCATATTTTCTTTTGAAGGAGTTGGGATTTGGGTTTTTTGTTTCCACCCATAATCATTTCAGTTGTTTACTAAAGGCTGAAGGAAGGTCTGCACTTAAGTAAATGTTTAAATAACGACCTTAAACATCTATTGAGGAGTTGCCACTCTGCTGGTTTCTCGTTCCGTTGTACCTGTTATGTAACCTGGTTTCTGTTCGGTGCCTGCAGCGACAGCAGAGCTCTGATAAGATTAGCTGTACGGGATCATGCTTTTCCACCCGTAGAGCCTGGAAAACTTCAGAGTTAATGTTTTACACAGAGCCAGCATTACCCTTCCGGTTTCAGCTGGAATAAACAAATTGTTATTGATCTGGCCTTCAATTTAGGCATGGTTTTGTTTATTTTTTATGTGAATTTTTTTTAAAATTATCAACAGGCTTCAAGGGCTAAAATTCCTTCTCCCCTCCTGCAGGTGAGCGACCGAGGCGGTGGTGTTGCATTCCGCCGGATCGAGAACCTTTTCAGCTACATGTACTCCACTGCTCCTGCTCCTCAGATCGGAGACCACTCCAGGGCTCCTCTGGTGAGCTAAAAGCGTTCACTGGGACATTTCAGAGCTGGTCTGAAAAGCTCTATCATGAGTTAAATGCTGTAGGGACGTTCCCATGAACTGGGCTGTTGAGGTCACATGAATAAGCGACCCACCCATCTTTTTTGTTTGTTTTCTCATTAAAATATGAAGAGCTTATCTCCATTTAGTTACAGTAAATGGAGTTACAGTGAGGAGGATTTACATATCGTAAATCCCCCTCCTCCCAGCTGGAGGTCCTCAGGGTCTTTGTTGTCCTGCTACACATGCAGTTGTTCAGTCATAAACATGCAAAACAGTGTGAAAATCAGTGCGTTTACATGCAGCCAGCAACCCTTTTAAAACCCGAATATTCACAATAACCCGGTTCCGCAGGTCCATGTAAACACCGCCAAAAACCCGGATATGCTCATAACCGGGTTTTTAAAAACCCGGTTACTACACCTGGGGTAACCCTTTTCTAACCCGAATGTTTGGTCGTGTAAACGCATGTAGTGACTGGGCTTTAGCTTTGGGTTGAAACCTGAGAGAACATCCTTTCTTGTTTTACTTCTCCTCAAACCATCAGCCGTCCTCATGCATGGTGTTGTGATCGTCCCAACAGGTGACCCATGATCAGAACTGATTTCAGACAAAAGACTGAACACATTCTTGTCTTTGAGCAGCTATCAACATGAAATCCAAATTCAGTTCAAGGACCTGAAGCTGATGATTCAGTTCTGTCTCCGCAGGCTGGCTTTGGCTACGGTCTCCCCATCTCCCGTCTCTACGCCAAGTACTTCCAGGGAGATCTGCAGCTTTACTCGATGGAGGGTTACGGCACAGATGCTGTCATCTACCTAAAGGTGAGCCAGATGTGCAGAGCAACCAGCATGAGCAGCCTCAGTGCAACACAAACCTGACAGGTCAGCTTGTAAACACGTTTGTCGTCTCGTCCCTTCAGGCCCTGTCCACGGACTCTATCGAAAGGCTGCCGGTTTACAACAAAACAGCTCTGAAGAATTATAAGATGGCACAGGAGGCTGATGACTGGTGCGTCCCCAGTAAAGAACCTCTAGATCTGCGCAAATTCAAGGTGGCTTAGCAAGAAGCTCTGCAGCACTGGCTGGTGCTTCTCGACCACAAATCTCCTTGTTTTCCCAAGGAATCATCCGCCAAGGACGAAGAGCTTCCTAAACCAAGTACCCTCCCAAGAACAGAGCGGAACAGCCTGTTTTTACCAGCAGCATGATGCAGCTCCTGTCATCCCCTTTTTGGTTTTTAGTAGAAAAATAGACAACAGGATGCTTGGATGGAGTCGCCTGCGTGGCGTTGAAATTCCCTCAGCATTAATGGGGACAGAGTGCAGGTTGGAGGCAGCACCCAGGATGTTGTGGGTGTTTAGAAAAGAAAAGTCGTATTAGTGGACTGATGAGATGTGATGGGAAGAGGTGTTTAAAAGACATCCTGCATGTTTTGACACATTAACAGGAAGACCTGTTGTTTTAGCCTTAAAGTAGCAAATCCACCCAAGGGCAAGTTGTTTTGTTGGAATACTTGAACTATTAAAACTAATCTTTTCACCTTGTTGAAGACAGTACTGTAACTGTTCAAAGTGTAGAACAACATTTTTATTTGTGTGAATGTTTCTGCTTTTCTGAGTTTATTTCTGCCTGTACAAATTTAGGACTGATGTTTCGTCAGGCGTCCGGACCAGGCTGAATGTAATCCTCCTTTTACGTGTGAAAGAAGAAATGTGCACTATGTAACAGAAACCGTCGATCCGTGTTTCGAGTCGGCGTTGGTGTTTGCCAGCCTTGAGTAAAGGCTATGTTCAATAAAATCAAGTGTTCGCATGCTCCAGTGGGAGCTCAGCGTTAAACCTGTTTGAGGTTCAAAAGGCTAGTGTCGGTTTTATTTTCCTACTGTGCCAAACGAGTATGTCTTGGGTCCAGATGTGTTCAGAATCAATGGTTTTACTTTGTTTATCTTAATCATACAGAATGCAAATGGGTATTTTTTTTATAACTAAACTTGTTTGTGACTGAACTGATGCAAATAAAACAACATTAAAAAAAAATTCTAAGATGTTTTTTCAGTGCTTTGTCTTTGTGAAAAATAAAATGAAATCGAGTTCCTTTGCTGTCCCTGAGCGGGGAAAAGTTGGTGTCAGCAATTACACAGCCTCGAAATGTAGGCAGGTTAGCAGAAGGCAAATGGATTTAACTCCTATGTGTGTGTACATATATATATATATATACACTGATCGAAAATATAAATGCAACACTTTGTTTTTGCTTCCATTTTTCATGAGATGAACTCTGAAATTTTTCAACATACAAAGAACCCCCATGACTCTCAAATATTGTTCTGAAATCTGTCTACATGAGTGTTAGTGAGCAATTTCCCTTTACCAAGATAATCCATCCCACCTCACAGGTGTGGCATATCAAGGGGCTGATTAGACAGCATGAATAATGTACAGGTGTGCCTTAGACTGCCCACAATAAAAGGCCACCCTGTCATGTGCAGTTGGATCAAACAGCACAATGCCACAACCTTTGAGGGTGCGTGCAATTTGCATGCTGACTGTGGGAATGTCTACCAGAGCGGTTGCCTGTGAAATTAATCTTTATTTCTCCACCATAAGCCATCTCCAAAGCAGAGAACTTGGCAGTACATCTAACCGGCCTCACAACCGCAGACAGCATGTGACAACACCAGCCCAGGACCTTCACATCCAGCATGTTCACCTCCAGGATCGCCCGAGACCAGCCACCCGGACAGCTGCAGCAACAATCGGTTTGCATAACCAGAGAATTTTTGCACAAACCTTCAGAAACCTTCTCAGGAAAGCTCATCTGCATGCTCGTCATCCTCATCTGGGTCTGGACTTGACCGCAGTCTGTCGTCGTAACCAACTTGAGTGGGTAAACACTCACATTCAATGGCATTTGGGACATTGGAGAGGCGTTCTGTTCACAGATGAGTCCGAGTTTTCACTGTTTAGGGCAGATGGCAGACTGCGTGTGGGTGAGCAATTTGCTGTTGTGGAACGAGTGGCCCATGGTGGCGGTGGGGTGCTGGTATGGGCAGGCGTAGTACATGAACATAAATGTAAAAGCAGATTACATGAATGTAAACATGCCAGATTATAGCCAAAGGCTAATTTCCATCTGTTGTCCCTAGACATAAAAATACGTAATAATTCATAAAAATTCATCATTCATTCATCATCATGTCAGGGTGTTCTTTTATTGTGGGCAGTCTAAGGTACATTTGTACATTATTCATGCTGTCTAATCAGCCCCTTGATATGCCACACATGTGAGGTGGGATGGATTATCTTGGTAAAGGAAAAGTGCTTACTAACACTCATAAAGACAGGTTTCAGAACAATATTTGAGAGTCATGGGGCTTCTGTGCATATAGAAAAAGTTTCAGATGTTTGAGTTCAGGTCATGAAAAATGGGAGCAAAAACAGAAGTGTAGCATTTATATTTTCAATTAGTGTATATATGTATAGATATATCTATCTATCTATAACTTACTAACCTATGGTCACAAGCTTTAGGTTGTGACCAAAAGAATGAGATCGCGAATACAAGCGGCCAAGATGAGTTTTCTCCGCAGGATGTCTGGGCTGTCCCGTAGAGATAGGGCGAGAAGCTCTGTCATCCGGGAGGGGCTCAGAGTATTCGCTGCTCCTCTGTATTGAGAGGAGCCAGTTGTGGTGGCTCGGGCATCTAGTTAGGATGCTTCCTGGACGCCTCCCTGGTGAGGTTTTTTGGGCAGGTCCACCAAGGAGACCCAAAATAAGATCCAGGACACACTGGGGGGACTGTCTTTCGGCTGGCCAGGAAACGCCTAAGGATTCCCCTAGAGGAGCCGATCCAAGTTGCTGGGGAGAAGGAAGTTTGGCCCACTGCTTGGACTACTGCCCCCATGATGCGACTCTGGATAAGTGGCTGAAAATAGATAGGTAATATTTACAACTTGCTTTTAGATCTGTGAAATCAAACTTTGTAATGAAGAGTTTAAAAAAATAAATTTTCTGGATCTTTACTAAACTTGGAGATGAGACCAAGTAGCTTTTTTTTTATCATCAGACCTTCAGAATTTTAAGAACAAAATAAATCTTCCTTCTCTCCTGACCCCAAAGGTTTCTGTAAGTATTGGTGACAACTGCTTCCATCATTATAATGCCAGCAAGTGAAGGAGCTCACATGGTTTCCCATCCTGCCACTTCTGGTCCAGGGCCCAGTAAGACAGAGGTTACGGAGCAGAAACACACCAGGTCTTGTGCTTGTCCAGGATCCAGAACATGTGAGGCTCCTGAATTAAAGGCTAAAACCTGAAACTGTTCTATTGATAACTGACTCCTTTTTCAGTTGGATAGTTTGGAAATATGACGGCATCAAAGCAGCACAAGTTTACCCTGACGGCATCAATGGATAAAAAAAAAGCACCATATATTAATCACATTTTTAGTTGTTGGAGTGACTCCAATCATGATGTCACCTGCATTAGTCAGTGGTGTCTTCAGTCCTGGTCCTCAAGGACCCCTATCCTGCATGTTTCTCTACTTCAGCACACCTGATTCTAATCAGCAGGTAATGGACAGGCTTCTGCAGAGCTTCATGACCTGCTGAACAGGTGATTCAACCATGAAATGTTATAGCACAGATGAGAAACAACTAAAACATGCCCCAGGTTTAGATAAAGGATATCTGATGAAGTCAAGCTAAGAGCAGTGGTGAGTGATCCATCATGTTTAACTCAAGACTTCATCAAGGCTCTGCGAAGATAGTTCTGGGACTTGTTGAGTTGGTACCGTTGTAGTGGGATCTGTGGAGGAGGGCCAGGATTGAGTAACTCTGAAAGCTCCATTCATTCACTGTTGTTAAACTTCTTTATCCCACTAGATTACCACAAATCTCCACACTGGCAGATAAGGAGTGAAAATTTATCTGATACAACAGCAGTTAAACTCTTCTTTAAGGTGATTAACAAGATCTAAATGGGGGGAAAGTTATTCCTGCCCAGAAAATCTTTGTAATCAGTGTTTGGTACCATAGAGTGATATTACATTCTTGCTTTAGAAATCACTTTAATAGACCACAGAGAGAACAGAACAGCTTTGGCTGAATTCCTGGCAGCTTGTAGGAATACTTAATTTAGGAGCAGGTGCAAGGTGGAGCAAAGGCTGGTCCTTGAAGGATGTTGTCACAAAACTCTGGAGGTAGGATAAAGCTCATAAACCTAAAAGAGTTTTTTCTGTGAGTGTGTGTGTGTGTGTGTTTTGTGATAAACAAGCTGTGAACATATTTAGATCAGCTGCTGCTGGCCTGACCCTTAACACAGTAAACTGAATCTCCACTGACCCTGCCACCACTTTCATTCAGAGAGAAGAGCTGGAGGGCAGCAGAAACCAACGCGCCAAGTCACACGTAACAACTTAACAAGAGTTTATTTTAGATTTGCTGACGTCCTTTCTTTGTGTGCTCAAAAGCAGACCAGAAGGTACAACCTTCAAGTCAAAACAGGAGATTAAAGTTGATTTATAGTTCAAACCAGACTCTTCTGATTTCTGTCATTTTCGTTGTCTGTCATCCCAGAGTGATCACAACACAAGAAGACCCATGAGCATGCTGTACAACCATCCTCCCTGAAAAACACAACTGGTTCATAAATAGATCCTACAGAGGAGTAACTACAGGTAAAAATGATGAATGAGTTAAAACTTGGAGTATTCCGTGTCATCTGTTCTGTTTTTGTCGATGAATAGGTCATCACATGGGTCTAGTTTTACACACTCAAGTCTGATCCAGGGCCAGCAGGAAAACAGCAGCTGATCTAAATGTGAAGCTGAGCGGTTTATCCAAACTCGAGCCAGCGGGCCTACGCACACGGAGGAGTGGAAAGAATCCAGCACTGTCCGCCTCCTTATCACATAAAACAAAAGGATCAGATTATTAATGTCCCAAAGCAACAACTGCCAGGGGACAAGCTGTCCAGCGTCTGGTGTTGATGTGTTCTGGAATCCTGAACTCGTTCATCCTATGTGTTTATGTACCGACAATGTGCAGGTTTCAGCCGAGTCACACGATTAAAGTTGGACAAATAAATTAATCACCATTACCTGTAAAAAATGTGAAATGAGAAATAGCTGTAAAAACAAGTCTTTGGTTGAAAGTAAATGGCTTAGAAAGTCATTCAGAAGTAATAAAACTAGTTTAAGCACGTTTGAATAATTTTAACAAGTATGAAACTTTACTCACTCAGTCACTGTGAGAACCACATGTCACAGGGAGCTGGTCACCAGTCACCATCTGCAGCAGATGCAGGGCAGGGATACACAAACAACCGGTCACGCACTCACTCACACCTAGGGACAATTTAGAGTCACTAATCAACCTACACATGTTTGTTCCTGGTCAGGAGGAAACCAGAGCACTAAGAAAAAAACTCATGCATGCATGAAGAGAACATGCTAACTCCATGCAGAAAGGCTGCAGACGTTGCTACCAACTGATCCACCGTACAGCCATTGTAACAAAACATTTTCCTAACAAATGATGAAACTCACATCAGCTAATTAAATGAACCAATTTTCCCAAAAGGCTGGATTTGATTATAGATTTTAGATGTTTAATCAGTTCATTGGAACAATAGTGAAATACATTTCACAAGTAAATTTTAAAATGCTCCTCTCACAAAACATTACAATTTAAATTAAATCATCAACTTTAACAACATGAACGTTAGATATTTCAAGTAAGACCTATTGATAAAGATGGAAATGATGTGAAGGTAAGAGGTTCAAGAAAACATCTTTAGTAAAATAATAATAATAGTAATAATAATAATAATAGTACTAGTAATAATAATAATAATAATAATAATAATAATAATAATAATAAAAGCTGCAAGCAGCGTCGTTCGGCCCTCGCAGCTCAGCACCGCTCCGGCCTGGCCGGCAGCCCAGTGTACCCGGGCACGTCCGCGGAACTGAAATGTTGACCACCCCGACACAAGAAACCGTGAATGGTCTCGTCTGCACCTCACCCTGACTAAGCGTCTCCTCTGAGCCCACCAATAAATTACACATCTCACCACTAGGGGATACTCTGTCTTTACCACACTGGTGGTGTGATGACACAGACCAAGTTATTCTGACCACGTTTTTTGAAGTTATTGAAGGTTGAAGTTATCTGGGGGGCACTGCGACGAACTACCGAAAAATCCCATTGAGGTCAGTTTTGATTGACAAAGACGGTTTTGTGGTAGTTTGGCATTAATCAGACATTGCGTGTGCTTTCTAGAGCTAGAAGGCCGAAAAGGGGCCGAGCTAAAGGGGTTTGAACCAACAAACACATTAATGTTTGGTGCAGTCACGTGATGACACAAGCCAAGTATAACGCCATTCTGACCTTGTCTTTAGAAGTTAATAAAGTTTGAACCTATCTAGGGGGCGCTGTGACCATTTACAACTAAATCCCATAGAGGTAATCTTTGGTCATCAGACGGTTTTCTCTTAATTTGGCATCAACCAAACGTTGCATGGGTCATATAGAGCCAAAAGTGGGCGGAGTTAAAGTGATTTGAACAAGTGAGCACATACATGTGTTGATTGCAGTTGCGTGATGACTCCCACCATGTTTGATATAGTTTGGAGTTTTTTTTGTTGTAGAAATTACAAAGGTTTTATTGTATCTAGGGGGCACTGTCCCAAATTTAGGAAAATATCCCGTGGAGCAGTTTGTAGGTTGACAACAATCATTTGCCTGTAGTTAGTGTGAATTGCATCATGCATGTGTTATTCAGGGCCTAATATATGTCAGGGGGAAGAGCTAAAGCAACATAAACCAATGACCACAGGATTGTGTTGAGTACCTTTGTGTGATGACACATAGCAAGTTTGGTGCAGTTGTGACCTTGTCTGTAGGAGTTATTACAGTTTTAAGGTATGTAGGGGGCGCTGTGGTGATATTGTACAATGTTCACCAACCGTTTGTGCCTCGTTGGCTAAAGGGCATGATTGTTGATTGCCATGTTCAGTCTCGTGCATGTTGGAGGCTGTTTGCAGAAGTTACAATCAAACGTAAGGTCACTGAGTCATGCCAGAATTTGCCATGGCATCAAAGCCCGCCCCTTTCTGGAAAGCTATCAGAACTGAATGGTCATTACAGTATCATGAAGACCTTGCATGACCTTAGTGTGATGTTGACTAAATTAGAGGGGACAATTATGGGCATTTCACCATAAAACAATAGACTTCCTGTTGTTAGAGGGCGGGGCTTAGGTGATGTCAGCTGTCCACACTGTTCTTGTCTTGAGATGTGGTCAGTGATCACACAGACAAAGTTTGATATTGATCTGATCATGCACATGGGAGTTATTACATCAGGTAATGTAATGGCAAAAGGTCAAAGTTTGAGGCTTGGGTGAGTACTTAGACCAAAATGGCCGACCTCCTGTGTGACTTTGCACTTGGCTCCAAGATACTTTTTTGTAGGTCCTGAGACACTACATTAGTGTACCAAGTTTAGTAATTCTCAGTCAAAGCATGGCTTGGGTCTGACAGTTTAAATGGTCCTAGCGGGTGCTATTTCAGAATATAGACCACACCCACAAACCTATCACGTCCATTTCTTTTGGTGGTCTGACTAGGATCACTCACCAGAGAATTTGTAGCGACGTCACAATAACCGAGGAAATGAGAGGCAAACATATTTCCATGGCATGATGGGGAATTTCGCCATGCTCCTAAAGCCCCGCCTTTTTTCAAAACCTGACAGTACTGGAGACCAAGTGACCTCAACTTGTCTACTGCTATTTGCCAGAGATTGCTGGTGATTGGGTGAAAGGAGCCTAATAGGGAGCTGTGAAAGAAAGAGTGGCATGGCAACAGGTCAAAGTTTGAGGCTTAGCCACGCCCACACCTTTCAACTTTTGAAAAATCCACTGGTTGAATTTTCCCCCCTATGTCTTAAGAGTCTATAGCAGAAGTTTGAAGGCGATTGGTGAAAAGGGCGATGGGGCGTCACTTTCCAAACGATGTGTGCGAAAACCACTAAATCGAGTACTTGGACCAAAATGGCCGACTTGCTGTGCGACATTGACCTTGGCTCCAAGAGACTTTTTTGTAGGTCCCAAGGCACTACATTAGTGTACCAAATTTCGTAGTTCTCAACTAAAGCACGGCTTGGGGCTGACAGTTTTAATGGTCCTAGGGGGCACTATTTCAGAAAATAGGCCACGCCCACAGGATTTTCACATCAGATTTTTTGGGGGGAGGGGGGGGCAGACTATGATCACTCACCAGAAGTTTCGTGGCGATATCTTTAGAAATGACGAAATGGGAGGCAAACGTATGGCTACAGCGGTACGCCTGAATTCGCCATGCTGCCACAGCCCTGCCCTCTTTTGAAAACTCCCATAAAGTGATGCCAAGAAACACCCACTTGTCTTGAGTTATCAGCTAAAAATTTGTGGTGATTAAGTGAAATGGGGCGATTTGGGACCTATCACAGTAAAACTTGACCTTTTTGGTCCTGAGGGGGCGGGGCTTGTGTGATGTCATCATCTGACCATCAATTTTAGTTTGTGGCTGGATGTTGAATGACCATAGAAAGTTTTGCAACTCTACTCTATTCGGGTATGAAGTTATAGCCATTTAATTTTGGCGAGTAGTCGAACTTCGAGGCCAGGTCACGCCCCCTCAGCATATACAAAAAGTCAGTTTTATTTTTTCTATTTGATCGCCCATTCCTTCTGAGCAATTTCCCACAACTTTTGAGACGATTGTGCGAAAAATGATCGAGTAAATCAATCACAAGCGGACCTTAGAAACGACCAAAACGGGGTCAAAATCACCATTTCAACCCGAAATGGCCGACTTCCTGTTTGACATTGACCATGGTTGCATGAGGCTTTTCTGTGCACACTGTTGAGTACTACAAGTGTACAAAATTTCATAACTGTAGGACAAACTAAGGTTTATGGAGGGGGGTATTTTTCACATTCTTGGGGGCACTGTGGAGCAAGTTTTATTGCGATTTTTTTGGGACCTTTAAAATACAAAATTTTACACCATGCCTGACGTGTGCAAAAAATCCTGAGTTTTCGGGTATGTTAAGGCCTCCAAAAAGCCAATTAACTTGGCGGAAGAAAAATAAACAGAGCAGATACAATAGGCCTTCGCAGCGCTTTCACTGCTCGGGCCTAATAATAATAATGACTGGTGTAAGATGATAAACACGTAGTGCTAAATCTCTCACTGAGCTGCAGCTGTCACTGACAACATGATGTCTAAATCACGATGGAGCTGTTTGTTTTTGCTGTGTAATTCTTCCTCTAGTGGTCAGGTTAGTAGAAACAGACCCGTTCAGGTTTAAAATAATAACTTTATTATTTATTAACACGTTCATTTTACTCATGAGTGTTTTAATAAATGCTGACAGAAATCAACCACAGATGAATCCTCTAAAATCCATGTCACATTATAATTCAAAAATTGGCTTTTGGTTTTCTCATGGCTGCAGTGATGATGAATTAACGAGAAGCCTGATGGATTGTGGAATGCAACTCTTTGTGAGTCTGGTAGTCTTTGGCCAGATTGGTCTGTTTTGAGATTTTGAAAAACAGAGTCATTATTAAATAGTTTGGCCATTTTCTAGTGCATCTAAAACAGGGGTGTCAAACTTATTTTAGCTCAGGGGCAAAACAAAGTAGCTCGTCAGAACACCTGTTGCACTGCTTAACACAATGCCTATTACACCATCTAGTGGACGTATTGGGAACAGCAGTTTTGTATTGAAAACTTATAGTTTATGTTGACTCTACATTGTAAAGTATGAAAATAAAGTTTATACGACCATCTCGCGGGCCGGACTTAACCCGTTTGCGGCTGGACCCGGCCCGTGGGCCGTATGTTTGACACCCCTGAACAGCAACAGCACAATTCAAGCATATTGCTGCTGAATTTTAAACGTATTTGACTGCCAAAACCTCACAACAGTTGTTTTAAAAAAATATTTACATATTTGTAAATCTTGTTTTACAGGATTGTTCTAGCAGAAACATTGTGGGGTTTCTGCCCCTGAACCCACCAATGGCACATTGTTTAACTGCTGGTGATATTACTGATTGTAAATGACCATACAATGTAAAATATATGCTGAGATACTGTTTAATTAAGTAATGTTTGAACAAAACATTATGATAATTTTTAATAATGAGCTGTTTTAACATGAAAGTCCAGTTAAGACTAGCCATTAGCTCGTCGGTCCTGCAGGGCGCTGCCTAGATCAGGTGAGATGCTTATATTTTAAAACTTTAAATATTTATATGTCGATGCTTTAAACACGTTTCTAAGCGACAGGCATATTTTTAGGCGAAGTCTTACGCTTACACCGCTCTTACGCAAGAGGGCGCTCTGGGACTAGGGCTAGCTTGTGATTAATCTGCTTAGAACCATAGAACCCTCTCAGGTATGAAGGTTCAATGAAAATGTTTCAGTTTTTACAATAAATTCTCCCTACACGCACGGCTGTATTTTCATTTGTACCTCCTTAGCAAAACAACAACAACAACAAAACGGTATTTTTTTATGGTAACATAAACATCATGAAATATAACAGTAGATGTTATTTCCTCCTTTCTTTAACGGCGGCCTCGGCATTGCTGAAGCATGTGTCAGAAATGGTCAGAAACCAGTGAAGCCGTGGTACTTGGAGATGTTTGCGATGCTTTTCAGCTGACTCAGGTCTGGGTCTGAGCCACACCTCTGTACAGGCGAGGGGGCGGGGCGTAGCAGCGCATGCCTCTATCCCATTGGTGGACGGTGTGTCCGCGCGACAGGAGGAAACGGTGCTGCTCGCGCACGCTTTGACTGAACTTCGGAAAGGAGAGGGAACTTTGGACGGACCTGGCGATGTTTCTGGATCAAAGAAGCCGCTGCTGAAGGAGAACAGCGTTTAAAAAATACAAAGGATTTATTTTCCAAATTATCAGTATTAATAACTTCCACCTGAACTTATGAGTGACATCACAGTCCGACTTGCCAGAGGAATCTGAGTGCGAACCGCTTTCGCCACCGTGTTTTGAGGAGGAGGAGAGGAGGTGGAGGTCGTCAATGAACTCTTTGGTACTTCAAAATAAGCTGTTGAGATATTTTCTTTGAGCCCAGCTCTAAAACAAGCAGCAGGATGGCAGAGCACGAGAGCCTGGAGTTTGGGAAGGCGGACTTCGTGCTTCTGGACACCGTGTCGATGGAAGAATTTATGGCTAACTTAAAACTCAGGTAAGACAGCAGCTTTCACGGATGTGCACCTTTCACACGGACTCAAACTGAAACCACTCAGTTTAATTATTTATTTGGGAGAAACGTCTCAGTGGACGCCTTTTAGTTGTCCCTCACCAAGTGGTTCAGCTGATAAAACTCAGCTCGGAGGTACCTGGTGAACACACCTGTGTGTGTGTGTGTGTGTGTGTGTGTGTGTGTGTGTGTGTGTGTGTGTGTGTGTGTGTGTGTGTGTGTGTGTGTGTGTGTGTGTGTGTGTACATGAATAAAGGGAGAGCATTGTGGAGTCAGATGGGCTGTGGCTCAGAGTCGGTTTCATCATCTCACCTCTGCCATCTGGGATGAAAGTGCAAACTGATCCCCGATTAGAGCTGTAAGTGTCTTTACTCAGCAGCAGGGACAATAAGCACATAGAACATGCTGCAAACCCCCCTGCTTTAGTAAATGAGGTAGCAAGTTCAAAGGCAATTAACATCTAATAGCCGTTTAATAAATTAATCTTTTAATTATAACAGAATGTGCAACTTATCAAGCCTCACAGATCTATGTGACACTGTCAATTTGCATTTATGGACTCACACATCTTGAGTCATGACGGGGAAGGCTGTTGTGTTGGTGTCCAGCAGAGAGCAGGGCTCTCTAGGTGAAGCTAACCATTAGCATTAGCAACTATACAATGTGGCAGAACACTTTTGAGCTTATGTTATTTGTAGAGATAAAACATCAACATGGCCTTTGTCCCAAAGAAATACGAGTGAAGGGCAGCAGTGGAAGAGTCACGCTGCTGTTAGCCAATCAGAGTTAAGACATTTGTAATATCACGAATACCGAGTTAGACCTGAAATCCTGCTCTTTTCTGCCCCATCTCATCTGGCTAACCTCTACTACTTGAAACAGTAGCGCCAGAGCTTTATTTCCACAGAAAACAACTTGCATGCTTTCATTCATACTGGAGACAACAGCAAGTTAAAAGAACCCCAAGTGGTTGAGACCTTTGTGAGCTCAGCTGCATCTGAGAGAACCAAAAACATCTGTCACAAGGTCCTTTAGACAGTTAAGAGATCATAGTGGAGGTACTGACCCATAACGCACAATACCTGGGTAAAATGAAAAACAGCCTAACAGCTGTCCGCATGGTGGTGGGGGGCTGATGATTTGGGCTTGTCCTGAAGATAGAGGATTTTTAATTGAAATTTTCTGACAGTTTTGACCAAACCACATCATCAAACAGGACAAAGATAGAAATCTACAACAGAATGACTGAAATGTGAAGAATTAAACCTTTTTTTTAGGGATGCACCGATCAGGTTTTTTGCTGCCGATCATGATACGATATCAAAGAATGCTGATCACCGATACTGATCACCGATACCGATCACGTGGATTGGCCAGAATTTTTCTAAAACATTATAATGAGTGCTACAAACTACATAATCTGGGAATAAAGGAAATGTAACCTAATCTAAAATGGTCTGTATTAGGGTTGTCACGGTGTGCAAATTTAACCTCACGGTTATTGTGACCAAAATTACCACGGTTTTCGGTATTATCACGGTATTTTTTTTAAACGTGCTACATTTTCACACAATTAAATAAACCCTGTAAGTCAGGAAATATTGTCCTCAGTTTGTGTCTAAATTTAGCCTAAAATGTGTTATTTTGTAATTATGTTGTTTATTTGTTTACATTTTTCCCCTTTATTCTTTAAAATACCAATATTTGCCCATAACTTCTTATTTTATGTCTGTTTGATGTCATCATTTTAAAAATATTAGATCAGATGATACTCAGTACTCAAGTAGTATCCGATACTTTTTTACCCTTACTTGAGTAATAAACCCTATATCAGGAAAATATTGTCCTCGGTTTGTGTCCTTCCAGTGAGCTTTGCAGATTTAGGAAAATGTCATCAGGCAGTAATCGTTGTTAAATTCATAATTATTCTCGGAGAGAGACCAATTCGTATCTGCCCCTGGGAGCCCCGTAATGCATAGCGTCATTTCAATATGGGGGTGTCCGCGACAAGGTTTATATGCAGGTAGCGGCGCTGCGGCTGCTTTATATAGCGACTCGTTGCATTCTCCCTCAACCCAAATCCTCGGATCACGCATTTTAGCTAAAACGCTGTTAGCTTGCCTTGCGTTGACTGTAGAGTTGTGAGTGATGGTCACGCAGATGTGTCATGAGATTTGAAGCGTTGCTGGCTTTCACAGACACTTTTTCTGCACGTGCTGCAAACAGGATAGCCGTCTTCTATAAACTCCCTTGGCATTCTTCAAATATCTAAAAGATGCCCGTACTTCCGACTTTGTCTTCTTTGAGGGATAAAAAATGTCCTCCTGAGCGCTGCTGTCTCCTCCTTTGGCCATTATTTCAGCTTTAGCTTCAAGAAAGTTTTGGTTGTAAACAACAAAGCGCGCATGTGCCGCCGGCAACTTCAGCAGATGATACGGTGGCTGGTAAGAGTCACCGCGACTACACCGCAGCCACGGTAAACCCACCAAGATAATATAATTTTTTTTAAACAAGACTGTTATTATTATTGTCAACTTTTTTTTACCGGGGTTTACTGCTACACCGGTTACCGTGACAACCCTACCTGATCGGTCTGCTTTGATCTATTTTGAAAACTCCGATCAAAACCGATAGGGGCGCTATCGGCCGATTGGGATCAAATGCCGATCCATCGGTGCATCCCTATTTTTTTTACAGTTTAAAACTGTAGATCTCAGCCCGATTTGAAAGTGACCGGCTTTGGACAAATCTGTGCCTTGTTTAGTGTGAACGTTGCATCCATTCAATATATCTGTATCTCAGGTTTAATGGGTAATTTGACCGTGTGGGGAAAATGAGTGCCAGGTGAACAAGTGAACGTGTTTGAAAGAACACCCAGCCTCCCTGGTTAGCGCGGTTTTCATAGCCATTCTTTTAATATTAGATCAGCGTCTGTGCTGTGAACAGTAGCTTTGGAAGCTGAGCTAGAAGACCTGTGTATGGCCAGACAGCACCAGGCCTAATTTTCCCCAACCCTTTTTCAGTTTGTTTGCTTTCCCTCCAGCTACACTGCTCAGTCCGGAGGTGGCGTGTGCAGATTGTTATTTGTAGAGGGTGTGACCAGCCAGGAGCACTTCCTTTTTGCTCCTTTTCCTCTAGTTTCAGGGGTGTTCGCATTCATGCAAGCAAGTGTGAGTGTGTTTGTCTGAGCAGAAGCAGACCACTTGAGAGGCGGATGCAGACAGCATCTAATGGTCTCCATTTGTCCTGGTGCAGTTTTCCAAAACAAATAGGGCTGGAGCACATCTGCTCAGTGTTTTCTAGCCTCACTTAGTCAACACAACTACTGTGCTTTTATCTACTGATCAGTCTTTCTAAACACGGAAAACTGAAGGGTAGCTTAAGTTTGGGTGAGCTGTCGTGTATTGACTTTTTTTCTCCTGCAGTAGGGGATTTCTACTGTTGTTGAAGGCCAGTTATGTTGGGTTGCTAGTCTCATTCCCTTGAGGCAACAATTAAGGCATATTTGGAAAAGATTGCATATGGCCAAACAGGGTTGTTCAAGTTGACATTTACTTAGCTTGATTTGAAGTTGAACTTTGTGGCCTGTTCCACTGAGTTTGCCATTCTCTAAATAGAACCCAGGAGATGCCCGGCCCTTTTGTGGAGATGCCTGGAGAGATAAAAGTACAAATTCTTGTGGGGTCTTGGAAAATTTGTCAGGAGAAAAGACTTGACTATATTTTCCTTAGATGAGAACACGAAAGGCTTTAGACAACCTAGTTCACTCATTCACCTCATCACCATTGTAGAAATCAACAGGATAGGTGTAAACGCTCCACAGGAATCCCACAACAATATGCTCATAGGGCTGATGTGGGTTCACTGTCTCGCTTCAGGCCTCTTCAACAAACAGCATGGCTGAGGCGTGAACCAACTGGAAGACGTTTTTACCACTGAGCCGTGGCCCCTCATCTTGTGTATTACAACACATGAGAAATATTTAAATGAACCTTTCCAAGGTAAAAGTAATTAGAACATTTTACAGGAATATTCTAATGAAGGTTCTCTTTGGAAGTTTCTCAAAGGTGATTAAATGAGAATGTGAATTAGTGAAAAAGTAACCCCACAGAGTAAAGGTTCCCAGCATTCTTCAGATCTGACATCCTGTCTGAAATGTCTTTATAAGGCAGCGTTGTTTAGTCTCACCAGGAGTCCAGGGAAATAAAAAAACCTTCAAAACTCTGTGCATGATTTACCTAAGCACATGCACCACTCTGAACACATATTAGTACATGTGTTCATGTTGTTTTTGTCGTCGTCGTCGTCTTCCTCCGCTTATCCGGGTCTGGGTCGCAGGGGCAGCATCCCAACTAGGGAGCTCCAGACCGTCCTCTCCCCGGCCACCTTCACCAGTTCCTCTGACAGGACCCCAAGGCGTTTCCAGACCAGATTGGAGATGTAACCTTTCCAACTTGTCCTGGGTCGACCCGGGGACCTCCTGCCAACAGGACATGCCCGAAACACCTCCCGGGGCAGGCGTCCAGGAGGCATCCTGACCAGATGCCCAAACCACCTCAACTGGCTCCTTTTGATCCGGAGGAGCAGCGGTTCTACTCCGAGTCCCTCCCGAATGTCCGAACACCTCACCCTCACCCTATCTCTAAGGCTGAGCCCGGCCACCCTACGGAGGAAACTCATTTTGGCTGCTTGTATTCGCGATCTCCTTCTTTCAGTCATTACCTAAAGCTCATGACCATATTTGAGGATTGGGACGTAGATCGACCGGTAAATTGAGAGCCTGCCTTTCTGGCTCAGCTCTCTCTTCACCACGACAGATCGGCTCAGCGTCTGCAGTGATGCAGAAGCTGAACCAATCTGCCTGTCGATCTCCCGATCCCTCCTTCCCTCACTCGTGAACAAGACCCCGAGATACTTAATCTCCTCCACTTGAGGTAGGACCTCTCTCCCGACCCGGAGTTGGCAAGCCACCCTTTCCCGGTTGA